TAGTAGTTAACTGACTTTTGGTCAAAAATATAGTAGTTAATTGACTTTTGGTCAAAAATATAGTAGTTAACTGACTTTTGGTCAAAAATATAGTAGTTAACTGACTTTTGGTCAAAAATATAGTAGTTAACTGACTTTTGGTCAAAAATATAGTAGTTAACTGACTTTTGGTCAAAAATATAGTAGTTAACTGACTTTTGGTCAAAAATATAGTAGTTAACTGACTTTTGGTCAAAAATATAGTAGTTAACTGACTTTTGGTCAAAAATATAGTAGTTAACTGACTTTTGGTCAAAAATATAGTAGTTAACTGACTTTTGGTCAAAAATATAGTAGTTAACTGACTTTTGGTCAAAAATATAGTAGTTAACTGACTTTTGGTCAAAAATATAGTAGTTAACTGACTTTTGGATCCCCTCACTGACACTCTCCTTCAGGACTAGGTTCCTTTGTATGTTTTTATTTTTTATTTTGAAAAGAGGATGGATTTTAAAAGCTTGTTTGCCCGCTGAAATAGGTTTGGAGGTATATTTTAGCGTTTCCATTTCCGAGGAGTAGAACAGTTTTGTATGAGTTGGTCAATGACAATGCTGCGTTCTCAGATAGAGTTAAAACTTTTTCCTCCCACAATTTTGCGGTAATGGTTGAGGATAATGCTCTATCGCTCATAGGAAAATGTATTATATATGTACATATGTACAGAGATTAATAATTTTAAGGATTGGTAGATTGTACTAAGTTAAGAGGTGGGAAACGGTGATGATATTAGTTTTACTAAGTTTATATTGAAATGAAGTTAGAGGGATTTTGAGGTATGTGTGATTGTGTTGGAAATAGGTACATTTGTGAGTTAACAGTAACGAATTACGAAAGGGTGTAGGCGTGGGGACAATAACAATACCCGTGGAAGAATATCACACTATGCCCTCAGTGTTTTCATACAACAAATATTGCAATGTTTAAATCAAACTTTTTGAACTTTTAATTAAATTCAAGTCGTACTTGCAATGATCAGCCAAAAGTGACTTGTTACACTTTTGAGTCGAGTGCTCTATTTCATTGATAAACCACAGCAATACGTTCTTTATTATTTTACCCAGCATCGAACTCGTCGGACTAAAGCAATAACCTGACAACTATAACAATGCAATGATCATTACTTTTTGTAGTGTGGCTGGTATAACTGGGGCTGTTGGTGTACTGATAAGGACAAAACGAAGAAAACGATGAATGGCAACACGGTAGTTCGTCATGATTTAAAGACAATCCAAGAAGCACGATTCATAAAATTCATTCCTGTGGAATTTTTCAAATTCAAGACGATGAGGGTCAACGTGTTTTTCATTAATCAAGGTATGTCGTTACAACATTTCAGCGGTATTATCCATATAAATCGATCATTTCATGTTATCAATTTTCTAGAAGCACCACGTGTCAACGCTACACCCTCTGAACGATATATATTCGTACAATGGACTATTGAACCATGTTATAAACTAGCTCAACTTATCACTGGCTACGTTGTGGACGTAAGTTCAAAGGAAGAATTCGACGTTGGTCCACGTCATACAAGTAAAAATATCACAGGACTTCAGCCATACACTGAATATAAAATACGATTCAAGGCTGTCCCGTATGGATTATGGAGCGACAACAAGACCATCAAGACTGACATAGCAGGTTTGTTAACTTGAAAGTGAGCTATTTGGTATAAAATCTTGTATCTATATCTCTTTGACTTAGTTCCACAGGTAATCAAAAGCGTTGTTACGTTACAGTCACTCTCATCAAATTCTATCAGAGTCACGTGGAAGGTGAGAACATCACACAGAAAGACTGAAATGACTGAATCTAACAAGAGGATATTTCTTGTCTTATCAGCATCCACAAAACCATTCTATCAACGGGCCATTAACAGGTTATAGAGTAACTTACACAGCAAACAAAGGGCAGTCAAAGAATGTTGACATAGGTGTGGTCAACACGTGGAATATTACATCACTAGACAAGTGCACGTGGTACAGTGTAACGGTGTCCGTTAATAACTCCAAGTACATCGGTCCACCGAGTAAAAACGCCACTATAAGAATTGGAAATGGTAAGTGTTGATTTCATCATTTATTGAATGACCTCATGATGTATTTTGTCTCCGATCACTCGCTCCTCATTGCCATTCACACACTCACACAGAAATTTCCARCAGCATTGAAGTCTTTTCAGTCTTAATCACGGGCATATAAATATGAGTCTCGCATACAATGTTTTCTACTGGCTGAGGACTGCTAAGTGCAAAGCCCGAATAGATTGAATATACCAAACAGTCTCTTAAAAGGAACAAAAAGCGAAAATCCGATGTACAATATAGTTGCTTACAATCTTGTTTTTTATAGCACCRATGRCCGGTCCCACGAATGTTTCTGCTATCYCGACAAACTCTTCTKCAATTGCTGTGTCCTGGGGTCYTGTAACAATGGACAATTTAACCTGTGACATCACCGGATATGACGTCAADTTGACACAACACGAATGTGCAAATATCAAAAACGGTGATTGGATAATTGAATCGACCAATAGAAGATCTACGATTTTTAGCGGACTATCGCCTTCAACAATGTACTCTGTCTCCGTGAGAGCAATTACGATAGCCGGTCCAGGTCCTTATAGCAAACCAACTTGCGTCTCAACCACTCAAAGAAATAAACAATGTAAGATGGTATTTGGTGTAAATGATTTTTTGCTGATGCTGATGCTGATGATAAAAATATCCGCACATGAAAACGAGGTATTTCCAAGAATATAAGCAAGCTTCGGGACAGTAACAGAAAATGCCTCGTTCTCATGCGTTCGGGTGTTATATCTCTAGGCGAACGGGCATCTTGAAAGACGTTCATTAAAGAATATACTGACAAGAATGCATGAAGATAACAATATTTAATTTTTTTTGATGATGATGATGACGTCGATGATGATGATTAAGGTTAACATTTATTGTCAATGTTTCGTCATACAATCATATTTACAACGAATTCTGCAGCTCAATTTAACCTGAGAACTTATCAACTTATCAAAATCATCCTCAGTTTCAGCAGGAAACCCTGGAAAGGAAGGCAGTAGATCATCGTCAGCAAAGACAGTCCTGATTGGTCTTGTGGTAGCTCTTGTTGTTGTGATGATCCTGCTAGCTGTGCTTACAGTCCTAACATGGAAAAGGTAGCCGGATCTCACATCTACACTAACTCTATCTCTTTCAACAACTTATACTTATTAATACAAAGTT